TCAACTGAATCTAAAGTCATTGGTAAATTATTTTTAATGCATGATTTCTTAAATTGATTCTTAAACGTTGAATCTTCATCTTATTTGATTTACGACATTGCAATAACAACACATTAACTGACAATTTTCTTTAGTATGTGGTTTTCATTATCGATTCTATCCAATGTTGGTTTATTTGCATATGTAAACGCTTTACCACACATTTGCATTTAGATGAAAAGGATTAAATCGTGATAGTATTGAAAATCATCCATTGAAACATATTTTAGTATCTCTTTCTGCTTTTTCATCTTGTTCTTATATGATTCAATTTTATATTTCCAATACTTTTCGTTAATTCAAAACTTGATTCTATCTCTTCCTCAGATATTTTTCATTAGATTAAAGTCTTTATATGCTAAAGCGTAACGAATCATTGAAGCATTCGATGATAAAGAAAGATTATGAAGCATATCAATCTTATAAACAAATGTTTCTTCAATAATTTATCGATTGGGTCAATCATAATTTCAACATCTTTATTGCAATAATGAATAAAATATTCTAATCTATTCTTAAAGTTTTTAGCATCATTGAGATATATTTGATAATCACTATCTATATAGTTTCTTGAGTTAATGCTGAATAAAAATCTTGAGTGAATGTTCCACTTTATATAATTCTTCTTCGTAATTTCCCACGTGATGAATTGATAAGGGAAAAAGGATTTAACACGTGATTTATTGTTTCCGAAATCTTGAGTGAATTGGTCTAATGTCCCACCCGCTATATAATTTCTGATGTCAATAAATCTCAATTCATATGGAACGTTTGTTTTCTTTACAATGATTGCTTAAATTGTGAAGATGAACCCAGCATTGATTTTATTTTCCATTTTGCAGTGTTTAAATCACGAAGAATTAAATTTAAATCAAACTTTCCCGAATTAAAACCTATGATATTCACTTTATTGAATTCCTCATCTAGAAGTTCTTTAAATGCTTCCTTCTGTTTTTCATTTAATGTATGGGACAAAGTCCCCGCCGTTTGCGGCTTCAATAATTCATTCATATTGACTCATATTTGATTTAGCAACTAATGAACAGGTTGAAAATAAAAACTCAATCCAATCAGAAATAAAAGAATCACTCGAAGTTAAGCAAAAATTCCTCGTATGTTTTATCATTTAATTTAACCGTTGATGATACCATGAATGGTTTTAAGTAAGCGTTCAAAGTTGCACACTCAGAAAGTTGTAATTCTTCTTTAGTCTCTAATGTTTCAAAGTCAAAAGTAATATAATATCTTGTCGGTTTATAATATTTCTGCAAATTGTGAGCTAATAACCACTGATATATCTTCTGTTTCGTAATATGTGGTGCATATGGTTGCTGTGTCTTTTGCAATTGAACGTCTTGAATTAATCTTCCATTATTTTCTTTACATTTCTCACAATGCTTTAAAAATCTTCTTTGGTTTTTCCTTTCTGGATCATCACGGATAGAATAAACTTCTTCTTTACAATATGGACAAACTTTATAGCCGGTGAGTGCTTCAACGTCTGTTATTCTGTCAGCGTGAAGTTTTCCACATGGACTCTGTGTTAATAAAATATTTACTGTTTCAAATTCTGGATCTATCATTATTGATTCCACTAATGGAAAGTCTACCTTATTTATGTCCACGTCTTCTGGTTGAGGATCACAATAATAGAAATCAATATTAACATTTAACATTCTCGCTAATCTCTCACTTTCTGATGAAATGTCAAACCCTTCATATGCATCTATTGCTTCATTTAAATAGCTTCTACGAGTTTTAGGATTAACACCATCAGGAATGTTATAGAAGCGTTTAAATAACCTTCTACCTTCTGCTCTAATTTGATTATCATTCATTTTAGCTGTTCCGTTTTTGTTCATTTATGTAAGAATAAAAAATTAAAAAATAAATAAAAATAAAGTTTATTTTTTAAAGCCCATAAAATGAATTAAGAACACATAAATTTTTATCATCTGCGACGTGACGAATACATTTTAATTTACTCAAGAATGCGTACCCTGATACATTAAATCTAATTCCTGTCTTATTTAATTTCACAACTTTGAAAAGGAATGTATGAATAGCTATAAAATGATGAGAAGATGTTTTATGGGTTGCTTCCATTTTTTCTGAAATAAATGAATAAATATAATGTTTAAGTTTTCATATCTTTTATGTTCTTAATAACGAATGGTATAGACCTTTCACTTCGTCTTCCTTCGGTGCTGTTCTTTCATATGAAACATTATTGTATCTTCAACAATGAAACCACAATCACACAAAATTTTATAGTTCCAATGGTTTCTTTTGATATTTTATCTAATAAATCAAAAACTTTATCAACACCTGTGCATTTATTTAAATAATAATTTGTGTAAATATCATGATCTTCTTGCTTAATCGTATTAGTTGCATATGTCACGTTTTTCAGAGCTTTTTTGAATTTCTCAGAATCGAGAGGGGGTGAAAGTAAGATACAAGGGTATTCTTCATTATCAATAAATTGTAACTTATGTTTACGAATAAATTTAGTACCTTCTTCTGAAAGTGTTTCGTCTATTTCACCATCTAATAAATTTTGTGTTGATTCTAAGACATAATTTTTATATCTTTCTTCATGAGATTTCTGTACTTCTGATTCTGAAGCTGGGATATTCATTAAACCCTCTACTTCGTTTTCATTATATTTTTCAACTTCTCTTAATTCCTTAATTTTTTCATCTATTTCATCTCTTATTTTTTTTCAGTCTTTCAATTTCATTGTATTCATCATCTTTAATCCGTTCTTCATAATATTCAGGGAAAACATCAGGTTCTTTAGGTTTTTCTTCTTCAGATGTGGGATATAAGAAATTTATAACATCATCTTTATTCATTTTTCCATCATAATCTAAATCATTTAATAACTCCGCGAATTTTTGACAATTTCTTAAATAATATTTATTAACTTCATAACCTACCTCCTCTAATATATCCTTTATTTCCTCGTTTGTGAATCCTAATTTTTTAACGTTGTTAGTCTTGACACTCATTTCATACAAAATAAAAAATAAAATAATAAACATAACTAAGTTTTAATTTATTGTAAGAAGTTTATTTTATTTTTATATATAAATCATTCTTAAGGTCAAACAGACTTCTTATTTTTATATGAATTCCATCCTCTTTAATGTCATCAATGATTACCATTTCATTATTTTCAATTTCTTCTTCTCGTTTATGAGGTTGTTGTAAACAGAAATTCATCAAAAGTGACACCTCAGAAAAGCTAAAATATTGAATTTTTGGAACTTTTGATAGAGCACGTTTTTAAATATTAATTAAAGTAAATGTATATTTTGTAAAGATTCTTTTTAATAAAAAATAAAATTTTGAAGAAGAGCACAAAATCTTCTGAAAAATAATATCACATAAACTCATATTATTTTCTAATATATAACTATTTTATATAAAAATCAAATTCAATGATCTTAAAAGCGAAGGATAAACCTCAAAAATTACGAATATAATGAGTGGGAATATAATGCTTATCTATCATAAAACCATATGAAATATCAATTTTTGCTTTACGCCTAATTTTTGACGACAATTAGCAAAAAAATGTTAAATGTTAACACTCAGTCATTTGAATATGAAAAATAAAAATTGACTTTGATTAAATGTTTTTATTTATCATGCAATTCTTCTTGCGACCAAAGATTTGAATAAAATTTCAAAAATAAGATAGCTTAAAAAATAATATACGGTAGTGTTTATAATAGATGAATAGTATATAAATTCTATTAAAATGGATTTGATCCAAAAAAAATATAAACCAAAAATAATTGTTATAATTTAAATGAAGAAGTAATTTAAAACGATTTTATTTATGATCAAATTTTATATATTTTTTTGGATCAAATCCATTTTAATAGAATTTATATACTATTCATCTATTAGTAAACACTACCGTATATTATTTTTTAAGCTATCTTATTTTTTGAACTTTTATTCAAATCTTTGGTCGCAAGAAGAATTGCATGATAAATAAAAACATTTAATCAAAGTCAATTTTATTTTTCATATTCAAATGGACTGAGTGTTAACATTTAACATTTTTTGCTAATTGTCGTCAAAAATTAGGCGTAAAGCAAAAATTGATATTTCATATGGTTTTATGATAGATAAGCATTATATTCCCACTCATTATATTCGTAATTTTTGAGGTTTATCCTTCGCTTTTAAGATCATTGAATTTGATTTTTATATAAAATAGTTATATATTAGAAAATAATATGAGTTTATGTGATATTATTTTTCAGAAGATTTCATTCTATATGCCTATGAAAAGTACTCTCAAAACTAACTTTTCCTAATTATAATTAAATCTAGAATATTGTATTATGCTTAGTATTATTTCATTTTTCTCATTCAATTTAGAATTTACAAATGTCAAAAAATTGAGAGCTGTCACTTTTGATGAATTTCTGTTTATTACATTTTGGCTTTCATATTCATTTAATAATTCACAATCTTCATTTTTAAATTGAAGTTTAACCCATTCAGGATTTAAACAATGTTTAATTAATCATGGAATATCTGACATCATCTATATATATATATAGATTATTTTATAAAAGATAAAAAAATAAATTATTTTAAAATTAATGTTAATTTTTTTAATGATTTATAAATAAATATATTTTAATGCATCGTCTATATATATAGATGTAACAAAAAAAGTCACTAAACCCGTCATATCCTACTACTCTTAATATCTGATGAATATAAGTTATTTAAATTTATTATGGATCTCACTAATCCATTATGAACGTTATTGAAAGGCAGTTAGAATTCTTTACAACAAGAATTCCAAGTTTTTCGTCAGAGAGTGTTTTCATTTAATCGAAAGTCCCATTAATCTAATGGGAAAAACTACCAATATCAAATTGTTATTGAATTCATCGCACGACTAGAATTTTTTTTTCAATAAAAAAATTATGAATGAAGGACCTTTTGTAGGTATTGACCTTGGAACAACATTTTCCACAGTAGCCGTTTATAAACCTGCACAAAAATCATTCGATGTTCTAAAAATTGATGGAGACACACAAGTTCCTTCAGTTATTGCTTTTGGAGATGAACTTGTTTATGGTCAGCGAGCTAAGAGCTTGATGGCAAACATACCACAAAATACAGTTTATGATAGTAAAAGAATGATAGGAAAGATGTATTCTGAACTTGATGAAAATGATATTAGAAACTGGCCATTCAAAGTTAATGATTATGGTGGAGCCCCTTCAATTCAAGCGGTTCTTAAAAGACAAATACGTGAATATCGTCCATACGAAATTTCCTCCTACATTTTAAGTTATCTTAAAAAGAAATCAGAAGATCAGCTTGGTGTACCCATCAAAAAAGCTGTTATCACTGTTCCTGCTTATTTCGACGATAGACAGAAGGCAGAAACAAAGTTGGCCGCCAAATTTGCAGGATTTGGTGATTTCGAGCTCATGAATGAACCTACAGCAGCAGCGCTTTGCTACATGCATACATTCCAGAAATTCTCTGACTCAAGCAAAATCCTTGTTTATGACTTTGGTGGCGGTACATTTGATGTTTCTTTGGTTGGAATCAATGGCAAAAATTTCGAAGTTATCGGTTATGATGGAGACTCTCATTTGGGAGGCCAAGATATCGATAACGCCCTCGTACAGTACTTCGCTCCTAATTTCTTGATGAAAACAAGAATTGATATCTTTGCAGACGATAATCAATCGAAGCGATACAAAGGTCAGATGAAGCAACAATGCGAGCACCTCAAAAAACAGTTTTCTCCGAATGTCAAAAGTGGTTCAATAAATATTCAGCTTCCAACAAACGATAACCACACAGCAACGATAGATGTCGATAAATACAACCAAATCATATCACCAATCATCGATTTATCCTTTACAAAAGTTGATTATTTACTAGCAGAGCACGGAGTCAATCCTTCTCAACTTACTGACATTATTTTGGTCGGAGGAACTTCCCTGATCCCATTAATCCGCGAAAAAATCAGAGATAAGTACAAAATCGAACCAAAAGCAAACATTCCACCTTTCGATGCCGTAGCTGCTGGAGCATGCATCAAAGCATATCTTAAAGGCCGTAAGAAACAAAGATCAAGCCGTGCAGCAACGACAACAAGAAGATCTCCTCAAATGCCACCTCCAGTTAACTATCCACGAGCTTCTACAGTAGAAGATAACCCTTACGCCAATCTCGAACCTATTCCGCCTATCCAGCCTCAAGTAGTTTCGATAGATCCGATTATGCCACCAAGTTTTGAGTCAATTAGCAGCGGTGAGCCTGAATATCCAGATATTACGATAATTACCGACCAACCAATTATCAACCAGACCCAGTTCGAGCCACTTTTCGAACCACCACCGAATATCGAGTATGTTCCTGACGAAAATGAGCAGCCGAACCCGTATATCGGCATGCCAGAGGAAGATATCGACATAGAGATCCAAGAAGCCACTCCACATTCGTTCGGAATTATTGCGAATAAGAAAGTGGTCAAAATGATCGAGAAGAACACTAAATATCCATATTCTCGGACCAAGGCATATCATCGCAGGAGCGAATCCCAGACAATTACCATCAAAGTCGCTCAAGGCGAATCTGAGATTCCATCAGAGTGCAAAATCATCGGAATCTACTCTGTACAGATGCCAGAAGACATCTACGACATCGACATAACACTCACAGTCGATAGCGATGGAATTATGTCTGTACGCGCTAATTACAGTGATGAAACAAAGAAATTCGTGTTGAATAATGAACACACGAGTTTGTCTCACCAGGATATCGACAGATTGCAGGCAAACAGAGCAGTTATCAGCGCAGAAAACAGGTTCCAGACAGCGTTAGATGACTGGCATAGATATATGACTGAACTGAAGAAAATGAGGAAGACGGCGAATGAAGGAAAGAAAAGGAGAATTAATGATAACATCGAAAGAATTGAGACTTATATTGATGATAACCCTAATCCGTCTGCTGATGAAATTGATAGAGTTTCTAAGGAATTATACGAAATGGTCGATAATGTTAAGTGGGCATTTAATTTATAAAATAAATGATTTCATGATTTTTTATTAATTTTTTTTCATTGAGTCCTTGAAATAAGTTGTAGACATCTTCATATAGACTTCTACGAGAGAATATGCTGCATATAATGGAGAGAATATCTTGATATTTCTAGATTTTACACATTTTGGATCATTTTGATGCAATCTTTAGATATAGGAATAAACGTTTAGTTAGGAGGATGTTTAGATAAGTATCCCATTTAGGCATTTAAGGATAGATAAGTTAGTCAAATGTACCACATTAAGTATTTTTAATATTGACAAATTTTTATGATACCTCGAATAATATTTCAGACCCCAAATTAAAATAAAAGCAAATGAATGTTTCTCCATCGAAACGCGCTAAAGGTACAATTCAAGTGTCATTCATTATTAAAAATGTTCGCGGTGATCACCTTGGCTCTCAATGTGTAATTGCGAGTGTTAACGATAAATCTTTTGTATTAAAACCTCGAACTATTAAAGGAGATACTAGATATTATGAAGCAGGCCATACCTGCTTCATCAATGTTGATGATGATGAAATCAGATTTGGCGTTGCAATTGTTACTCCAAATAACGATAAGTTTTTCTTCCATACTTTCGCATATACAGACTTTTATCCATCGAAATACCCAACTTGCCAAAAACTCAAGATGAATACGCCCGCAAATCTATACGAAATTTCAGCTCAATTATTTACGATGCCGTATACACGAGGAACTGGAAGCCCAACATCAAATCTTAATATGACAGCCCATACAATGACTCCAGGGCGTTCTAACCAAGCAAATGAGAGTCCTAGAGATAATTTAGCTCAAACAATGCCTGTTAGAGCCCCATCTAAACTAAGTCAGACTAGCACACCTCGAAATCGTAGTAGATATCAAATGTCTCCAAAATAATTGTTTGATTACTCAAAAAAATTATATTTATAATTTTATGTAATGTATTATTGTTAAATTCCATTATTTTTTGATTTAAGAAAATAGAGTACATTTATGTTGATAATTAATTTAATGTAATCAGTTGAAATCAAAAATATATTATATCCTAAACTGTATGGGCCATCAAATTCATTGCCATGGAAGCACCAAAATGCTGTATTGCGAATGCATTAAAGCTCTCAATATTTTTTTTTAAATAATGAGGCTTGTGAACACGAATGAGCTTTGATAAGATCAAGATGAATCATTTAAGATTATGTGGAGGGAGGGAGAGAGATCCTCAAATATGGCGAGATTTATTTGTGGAAATATATATCATAAAATTCCGAGAAGTGCGAAATATCATTCAATTTTTGAATAAAATTCAAAATGTTTTGTATCGTAGATTCATAATGATTCATAAGAATTTCCGCTCTTATCTAATATACAATGCAACCTAATACTGCTTTTCTGTGATCTTTTCTAAATTGTCTATTTTCACTATTCGCTAAGAAACTTTGCCCGAGCAATGTACTTAGGTACAGAGATATTAGCTTTTTCATGAGTATCTTTATAGAATAAACAAAATCAATAGGTACAGCCAAAAGACCAATTCCGACTAAATAAAAATTTCGCAAAAAGATGAGGTTTTTGATATTCCGAAAATAAAATATCGAAGTTGTACATACTAAGGGCACTTTAATTCTTAATTCTTAAATTTTAAGATGAGGGTCGGCGGTTTTCTGACTCGATGTTTTACAAATAAACTTGAAATCACATTCATCATGTCCATCTCTCAAAATTTATGGGAAACAAAATGTGTGCATGCTTAGTATATGATTTCAAGTTTAATTTTTTTATTATTATTATTTATTTTATTTTTTTTTACTCGTCGATGCAAACTATTCTATAATATAATGCTTATTGTAATTATCGATGTTGCAACAAATTGCTATCTAAACAATTCAATTTTTAAGATACCCTCAATTTTTTATGATGAGGCTCCATCTAAGCTAATCTGATATATTATTTGTTTTTTTTTCTTGAAGGTTGGAAAACCGTAATATGCCTACAATTATTTAATTTGAAATTGAAATCATACATCAGAAAAAAATTGACAAAGCTATCAAAAATTTAATTGAAAGCTATTTAGTCCTCATTTTTATAATGTTCCTGTATTTACTATCTCTGAGAAGAACCATAAATAGCACTCTTAATAATGAGATCAAATCTTGGATCTTAGCATTGTTTCCTGAATGTAATGATCAAATCCTAGAAAGCAGCTCAGATATAAATAAAAATATTGATATATTTAAAGAGTTGAATGGTAGTGAGTATTCGTGCATATATGGATCATATATTATAGGATCAAATACTTCATTCAAAGCAGATGTTTTTTATCCAAAACTGAATTCGAGCTTAGAAATCTCGATTACGAACAGTACTGTTGAAAATCCATTCGTTGTTGCAAACAAAATAGATAAAGAAGACATTTATACAGTCATATATGATGTTAAACCATTTTCCAAAGTTTACTGCTCCAATCAACTTGAAAGCTGTGAAATTCAGGTATCATTCATTCCACAGCCACATTATATTTCAACGAATATATCAAATAATGGACAAATCATCCAGATTGAAGATGAAAATAATGTTTACATTTCTTCGAAAGATGACTTCGCAACAAATGCTAATGTTTCATTAGAAATAACAGATGGATCAATAAAATATCGTTCTATGTCAGTAATTCTTGTAGGTGATGATAGAAAATCAATAAAGTACCAGAAGAACTCTGATACAAATGATTTGTTCAACTATGATATAACTGATGCAGAGAATAGATCAAATACGGCTCTATTTTACGTCTCAGCAAAAGATATCAGTTCAATTCTTCCAGCACCAAGTCCTACTCCATCAATCCCTGCAACACCATTTGTAACTGCATACGAAACACCATTTGAAACTCCTCATGTAACAGCAGTTGAAACACCATATGATACACCGTTTACGACAGCTGTTGAAACTCCGTATGATACTGTTTTTGAAACACCATTTGAGACAGCTTTTGATACACCTTTTGTGACACCATATGAAACACAATTAGAACCAGTATCCGAGACACCATTTGAGACAGCTTTTGATACACCTTTTGTGACACCATATGAAACACAATTAGAACCAGTATCCGAGACACCATTTGAGACAGCTTTTGATACACCTTTTGTGACACCATATGAAACACAATTAGAACCAGTATCCGAGACACCATTCAATACAGCAGTCGAAACAGCATATGAAACACCATTCGAAACAGCATTTGAAACAGCTTATGAAACACCATTCGAAACAGCATTTGAAACTGCTTATGAAACACCATTCGAAACACCATTCGAAACAGCATTTGAAACTGCTTATGAAACACCATTCGAAACAGCATTCGAAACAGCATTTGAAACTGCTTATGAAACACCATTCGAAACAGCATTTGAAACTGCTTATGAAACACCATTCGAAACAGCATTCGAAACTGCTTTTGAAACACCATTCGAAACACCATTCGAAACTGCTTTTGAAACACCATTCGAAACAGCATCAGAGACACCATTCGAAACTGCTTTTGAAACACCATTCGAAACAGCATTTGAAACTGCTTTTGAAACACCATTCAATACAGCGTTCGAGACACCATTCAATACAGCGTTCGAGACACCATTCAATACAGCATTCGAGACACCATTCAATACAGCATTTGAGACAGCATTTGAAACTCCATTCAATACTCCATTTGAGACACCATCTAAAACACCTGTAGGTAGTGGAAAAAATTTAAAGCGGATTGAAAATATCAGATATTCAAACATTAAATTATACGAAAATAATAATGAATCAAATATTACAGAAGCAAATGATAATTATTATCTAGATTTCTTTTTAATTGGTAACCAGAATGTATTTAATAAGTTAGAAATTAATGCAGAGAAAGTTGAGGGATCTCAGGCGGCAAAAAATTATTACCCAGGAAACTTCTCAGTTTATGTTAAATCCACTGATGGTGCAAAGAAGCTTGAAGATTTAAGCAATTTACAACAACAAACTACCATAAAGGATAATGATGATAAGAAGAAAGTGGTATATATTGCAGTATTTGTATCCGTTTTTGGTGTTCTACTTATAGTTGCAATTATTATCGTTGTTGTCATTTGTCTTAAAAGACGTAACAAGGAAAGTAGTAGTGGTAGTATTATATTCGATTCGGGTTCTGGCGTAGATATAACTGAAGGTGATTATTAAAACCCTGCTACTTTGTAATATAATAATCTGGCTTGATTTTACTACTTCATTTTATTTTCCTTTTTATCTGAGTAAAATTTTTTTTATAGGGTTGTTAAAAATATCAAAAATTAGCGTTTTGAAGACACCATGGTGTCTTATAATTTTCCCTTCCTTATTGGCGTGTAGAAATAAATGCGCCAATAGATTGAAGAAGAAGAATTGTTTTTCTCTTAATGAACTTTAATCCTTTTGATATAAGAATATTAAAAACATTAATATAATTTCGATTTCGGAAATTAAATTTCCAAATTTTTTGTCGATTTCGGAAATAACAGGATCCCGCATCCAACACGCAACAACAAAACACAAAACACACTTTTTGGTTCTTTCATCGTTTTAATCGTAATTTGTTATAGACCGAAAATATATTTTTTCGGTTTTCTCTTCAAATAATTGAAAGAATGATACTATTATAGGTTTATTATATTATATAGCATATAATCATGCTATAGCCGAAAATTATAAGTTTTGAGAAGATTGAATATAACACAAATAAATTTGAATGTAAGTTAAATTGCTTGTTGTTTTTAATAGCTATTTAATGAGAAATCCAATATTGCAAAATTCAAATTGAATGATTGAAAGAACAGAAAAAGTCATTCTTTTCAATTTCGAATATGTTTCATTGTATTTATAATTATATGGCAAATAAGATATTTAAACTTGATTTTTGAAGGAAAATTCACAAAATTGAATAAATTCAAATAATTTTTATTCAAAAATAAACTAGTTATTTGAGTTTAATACTAATTATCTATTCAAACTACAAAGTTTGTAATTTAAAATATTTTGTGAGATCAGATTGAATTAATTCAAGGTTCTTTTCAATTAATATTAATGACCATATTACGCATTTTCGAACATTCTAAACCAAATATATAAAAATGGGAGACGAATGTTAAATTTGCTAGACATGGGGAGTTGTCTGCAAAGTTTTAGCTCTTATCTCTAAAAAAATTAATTTTTAAAAAAATGACCGAATACGTTTCACAGCGAGAAAAAAATAAAAGGCAAGATAGAATTTTCTAGACATAAAGAAGTTGTTTACCGAGTTTTAGCTCTTATCTCTAACAAAAAATTAATTTTTAAAAAAATGACCGAATACGTTTCACAGCGAGAAAAAAATAAAAGGCAAGATAGAATTTTCTAGACATAAAGAAGTTGTTTACCGAGTTTTAGCTCTTATCTCTAACAAAAAATTAATTTTTAAAAAAATGACCGAATACGTTTCACAGCGAGAAAAAAATAAAAGGCAAGATAGAATTTTCTAGACATAAAGAAGTTGTTTACCGAGTTTTAGCTCTTATCTCTAACAAAAAATTAATTTTTAAAAAAATGACCGAATACGTTTCACAGCGAGAAAAAAATAAAACTGTACACTGATTTTCATTTTCATTTCCAGTCACTTTACTTATTATTTTTTCTTTTTTTCATTTTAATTATAAATTATTTCATAATACGTTTATTTACGTTACCATTTTCTTTATTCTTTTGAATTCCATACTAGACACTTATAGAATATTTTGATTGTTAACGTACTTCATTAAAATGAATCCTTACAAAGGGTATGTCGATCGAATTTACCTAATTGGTATTTCCAATCAGATTGAAGAAGGTAAAATGACATGGGAAGAAGCTTGCACCCATGTTCCCATCGCCCCAACCCTTCAATCAAATGATTTAAAATATTTAGATGTTTCAAAATCTTTTTTACAAAATCAATTTAGCTTACAGAATATCCCATTGCCTAAAGGCAAGAAAGGTCGTAGGGTCAATCCCTACGACCAAATCAAAGCTCTTGCTGTGATACATGACCACTGGCCTTTCCCTGTGGTCAAACAAAACAATGGAAACGTTTGAAATTACAACAAATTGATGTATCTTATAGAGAAGTACGCAGATACTTCAAAGAAAATCATTTCACCAAGACGCGATTAGAGCATGCCGGGCCAGAAACAGCAGTAAGATATTGGGCGCTTTCACCCAATCTTATCTGGCACGCAGATGTTCATTATTTTAGGGGTGTTCGTGGCCAGTATATTTATGGCATAATCGACGATTTTAGCCGCAAAGTCCTAGCGTGTATACAAATACCAGATATGCTGGCAGCGACGACAGCGAACGTTGCGGCTTCCGCCTTCATTGAATTTGGCGCCCCTTATTGTTTCTGGACCGACAACGGTTCAGAAAATAGGGGCGCCTTTCAAGATCTACTTGATCTTTGGGGCGTCCAATGGCGGCATACAGATTCTCATTCTCCCTACCAAAATGGGAAGATTGAGAGATTCTGGCCGACATTGGAGCGCTGCCAAAGCATTCAGGCTATTCCTGCCTTTATTTGGGAGTACAATAATAACACACCGCATGAAGATCTCCCAATTAATCCATTAACTGGAACAAATTACACGCCAAATCAAATGTATCAGCTGAAACCGAAATACACAAATGCAGATACAGAAAGGTTGTGGCAAATATGGGATACAGATACAGGCATGACCGCTGTTGACACATTCACAGCGTAATAATAAACATAATTTTTTAATTTCATTTAGTTAGTATACATATCAAGGGTACGGAGGCACTGCGTTCCACCTTACCCATTATATGTGAATTTGACACTTTACAAAACCGTTAACATATATTTTACAACACTAACGAATTCACTAACGACTTCACTAATGTTTTCACAAACGACTTCACTACTGTAAAAATAAACGTTCTCACTTACAAAAGTATTGCAAAGTTAGTATACATATCAAGGGTACGGAGGCACTGCGTTCCACCTTACCCATTATATGTGAATTTGACACTTTACAAAACCGTTAACATATATTTTACAACACTAACGAATTCACTAACGACTTCACTAATGTTTTCACAAACGACTTCACTACTGTAAAAATAAACGTTCTCACTTACAAAAGTATTGCAAAGTTAGTATACATATCAAGGGTACGGAGGCACTGCGTTCCACCTTACCCATTATATGTGAATTTGACACTTTACAAAACCGTTAACATATATTTTACAACACTAACGAATTCACTAACGACTTCACTAATGTTTTCACAAACGACTTCACTACTGTAAAAATAAACGTTCTCACTTACAAAAGTATTGCAAAGTTAGTATACATATCAAGGGTACGGAGGCACTGCGTTCCACCTTACCCATTATATGTGAATTTGACACTTTACAAAACCGTTAACATATATTTTACAACACTAACGAATTCACTAACGACTTCACTAATGTTTTCACAAACGACTTCACTACTGTAAAAATAAACGTTCTCACTTACAAAAGTATTGCAAAGTTAGTATACATATCAAGGGTACGGAGGCACTGCGTTCCACCTTACCCATTATATGTGAATTTGACACTTTACAAAACCGTTAACATATATTTTACAACACTAACGAATTCACTAACGACTTCACTAATGTTTTCACAAACGACTTCACTACTGTAAAAATAAACGTTCTCACTTACAAAAGTATTGCAAAGTTAGTATACATATCAAGGGTACGGAGGCACTGCGTTCCACCTTACCCATTATATGTGAATTTGACACTTTACAAAACCGTTAACATATATTTTACAACACTAACGAATTCACTAACGACTTCACTAATGTTTTCACAAACGACTTCACTACTGTAAAAATAAACGTTCTCACTTACAAAAGTATTGCAACTCCTCCCATTGCTGTGCTTCATATAACAGCTCATAATCTTCTGACTCACTTTCTTCTTCATATAGGTCAAAATCACTGTCATAGTTTATACCTGTAAGTTTTGACAAAGCTAATGAAACACGTTTACCGTTTGTATCGTATGCTTGTATAAACTTTCCATTATGCTTGTAGTCATAAACGCTCAAACTAACTTTACCCTTTCTCCCTCGTATCTGATAGAATGTATTTTCACGAGGAACGAAGAACAAATTCTTGAACTCATGACCGTTGTAGTTTGTTATCTCAATAGTTTTCGTCATTTATATAAAAATAAACTTAAAAATAAAATAAAAAATAAACTTAAAAATTAATGATATCACCACTCCCACACGTATGAAAACATAGCGCAAAAATAAATTTAGGTGAAGTGGTGAGATCTCACCTCTTTTTTCACCTGTTTTTTCACCCACTTGAATTCATTACTTTATAACTCTCTTCCTTGGTTTCTTTTTAGTTGCTTTCTTCACATCTGACACATAAACGACTTCACTAACGACTTCACTAACGACTTCACTAACGACTTCACACGTATGAAAACATAGCGCAAAAATAAATTTAGGTGAAGTGGTGAGATCTCACCTCTTTTTTCACCTGTTTTTTCACCCACTTGAAAGTCAACTAGTCTGAATTGCATGTCTTTCAAATTATGAGGACTAATGCGAACCCATTTACCTAAATGAGTTGCTATGACAGGAACGTTTGGAATGAACATTGAATTGACTGCATAACAGAAGGATTTATATTCTACTGAACCTTTACTATTAACTCCTGAAATACCTGTGACATTAGCTATTTTTGACTCAATGTACAAACAATTACCATAACATACGTATGGAACAGATTTCATCTCAATCGTTTTGTCAATACTTTTCAAAGGAAATGTCATATGGTATGCTCCCAGAAGCAATTGAACTCTATGACTCATTCGTGTTATCTTAAACTCCTTCGCATAACTGAACTTCAAAACTCCTGCAATAAGTTTAACATTCATTAAGTTTTCTTCGTTATCCTTGTTTATTGTAGTATTTATGAGAGCATTTAACACTCCAGCTAATGTTTCCATCTTATATTCTACATTATTGTGAAATCTTATTTCGTGCTTCTTTCCATCTATTTCAAGCTCCATGAAATCTGTTTCATCTGTTATAACGAATGAAGCGATAGTATTGAAGTCAACAACTCTGAAAGCAAGTGCTTCATTCTGTAGACCTAAGTTTGTTTGAAGCTTTACTGTCCCGTATTCGTTTGGGTCTGTACTTTGCAAATAGAACAACATTTTATTCTCATTAAAATATGACTATTGCTGCATATGCGTATGAATCTGACAGAGCTAAACGTTTATATTTTGGTCAATACTCTCTCACACTTACTGACAAATATATTGTTATCAGTGATGGAAATACCGAGAAATACATAACATGGAAGGACTATGAAAAGTTTGACCCCATTTTAACTCCATGCACTATGCCATTCATTGTAAATGGTGAAGTTGTCATGAAGAACGACACAACAGTATATAAGTCTGTTCATGAAGCGTTAGAATATATGTTGAATTATAATCCCGAAAGATTTGACCCAAGCACTACGCCATGTACAATGCCTTTTATTAAGGATGGTGAAATCGTAAGAGTTCCGAATTCAACGGTTTACACAGCTGTTCAAAACAGTTTACAAAACATTTTAGCGAATATCTTTAATTCAGAAACTACAGAAATAAAATTACCATATATAACAGATGCTAAAGAAATTAAATCAAAAACGACAACATTATTTACGTCACTTAATGATTTAATGACTTATATCATTAATATTCCTGCACCAACTACAGCATTTGATCCAAACTCGACGGTTTGCAGTGTACCTTTCATAAAGTCGCAAACGGACTCTTTGAGTCCTGAAGGTCTTTCAGACCGAAGCGACCAGGGCGAAGCCCATGACAGTTCATTAATTACTTTAAGGGATTCAACAGTTAATGAATCATTAAAGGCGTCATTAATGAAAATCATTGATTTTAATTCATTCATGAATACATATAATTCATTCATTAATGTTTCATATGCTTCTAAAGAAGGTGAGCCAAAAACTATCGATAAAGCGGTGTATGAAATAAAAGCATCAACGACGAAATTGAATTCGTTAACTTTTGACGGTGATAGTTTCGTTAATGACATAACATCGGGGAAAACAATTTTAACGAAAGAATATTTAAAATCTCATGTTAGTGAGTTCGTTGAAATTGAAAAAGAAGGTGGAATTAAGTTCGATCCACTGAATTTCATTTTCAGCTTAGCGAATGCGGGTGTTAGTTTCGCTGAATGGACAACTATACAGAGTGAAATAAATGCAATATGGACATTTTTGGGGTCAAAAGCGGGAATGGGTGAGCTTGTAAATGCTGCAAGAACATTAGGTGAAACAGGAAATTTTGTAGATGGTTTTAAAAGACTTGTTTCAAATGTTTTAACAAACACAAAGAAATTATTTAGATATACCATACATAACGGACGGATTTTCGAACAGGTAGCAACAAACCCTCCGGTTATGGCTGCGTTGATGATGGTTAGAGATATAAAACCACGTAACGACGGGAACGAAGAACATGAACAACAGAGCCCAACGGGCTCAGAGCCACATAGTGGCGAGGATACTGGTCGGGTTATTCGAGACATTAAAAACGTGTATCCTGAAGTTATTGATTTATTTAGAGGAGTTAATGATTCAATTTCAAAACATTCTATAACCCTCGATGAAGAGAATAAATTAACAGATTATATATTCGTCATTATTGCAGAATTAATGAAGAGAATAAATGAAAAAGGAATTGGTGATATCATTAATGTCAGCGATGTAATGATGAAAAGAAATTTTGACTCATTATTTACAAAACCGAAAACAGAATATAGTCTTTATGACGTAATTACCGAATTAATGAAAAAGATTAATGATAATAAGAGTTCTGGCGGAAGAGTTGAATTAGAAGTGAATGATGTTAATGAGAAATTAGCCGAAAAAGCAAACAAAAACCACGTTCATTATATAACTTCAGACGAACAGATTATAACGGACTACCATGGATATTTAACACGAAGTGATGAAGCGAAGACAAAAAATGTTAATGAAAGAAGATATAAATACATTCGTGCTAAAGGTTATGACATAAGCTGTACTGTACAGTATGATGTAGCTAAAGCACCAGAAGCATTTGGTTATACCGGTGAAATTTATGCCTCTACTTTCAATGTTAATGGTGTATTAGTTGAACCAAGATTTACTTTGAGAGTTAAGTCAAAAATAACGTTTGAAGATGCTATTAAAAGTAAAGCTGACAAAGATGAACTTGACGCAACGAACAAAGTTTTGAAATCTCATAAACACAACATCTCCGATATAAATGAACTTCAAGCTACATTAGACAGTAAAGCCGACAAGAACCATACACATAAATCCTTCACTACTGTTAGAGCTGATGACATAATATTGAACTTTGACCTTGGTTCAAGTGCACCTTTAGAGAATCCGAGTACAAGCGTAAAAGATACTCTTAACAATTTAGATAAGAGTTGCAGGAATACCGAAGATCATGCCAGAAACTTTGAAGCATATGAACTACCAGCAATGTTAGATAAGAAAGCAGATAAAACTTATGTGGATGCAGAACTAACAAAGAAATTTTCGAAACCAGATACAATGACATTTACAACAGAAATTATAAATGGTGAACCAGCAACTCCATTTGAATTTGTTAGAGGTCTTCAACCAGATACTTTTGAATTTTTCTTGGATAATTCTATTGAACTAACATTACATTATAAAAGTGGAACAAATGCAACATTTCATCCGGGAGATACATTCCAAATGGTATTTAATGACATAAGTTCTTTAGAATATGTTTATAGAGTTATGAGCATATATGATTTAATATATCCTATAGGAGCTGTTTATACGTCTATGAATCCAATAAATCCAAACACTTTATTTGGTGGTAGATGGTATGAAATAGTTGACAGTTTTCCATTCTACACTAATACGCAGTCAATGAAGATGGGAGGTTCAAAGAAAATAGGTATTGAAAACCTTCCTTCACATATGCATAGGTTCAGTGGAAGAACATCTGTGGAAGGAAACCATTCACATTCAATAACAAAAGAGGTTATACAAATCTTGCAGCGGGTTCGGATAGACAGGGAATGCATAGATATGATATCACAACTGACCCAGTAGATTCAAGCACAGGTATTTTCTGTGGAACCGCAGGAAATCATACACATGTTGTAGCTGGTATTACAGACCCAGCAGGTAATGGAAAAGATTATATGCCTCCTTATATAACAATACACGCTTGGATACGAGTTGGTTAAAATCTTTAACTTTACATAAATGAGCTTGAAAGAAGTATTCGAACAACATCCATGGAGGTCATTTAAGAAGTTCAATGAAGCTGCAAAGAGTTCGGGATTTACTAACAGAGCTGAAGTGAAAAGGTTCTTTGACAAAAATGTTGTACATCAAACAATAAATCCTTACGACTACTTTTTACCAATTTACTCCAACACTCCTGACGCATACCAATTTGACACTCTCATTCAAAGCAGAAAAGGAGGACATAAACCATTCCTCATCTTCATAAATGTTAACACTCGTAAAGCATATGCGTATCCAATGAAAAATAAAGGAACTCGTGAAGTGTTAAGAGTTTTACAAAAGTTTGTAGCAGAACATAGCCCAAGTACTTTAACATCAGACCAAGACAGTGCATACCTCAGTAATGAAATCACAGATTTTCTCATTAAGCATAACATAACTCACTACACTACTGAAGACCATAACCATAACATACTCGGTATCATTAACCGCTTCATAAGGACTCTCAGAGATTTAAATCAAGAGCGAGACTTTACCGAAGAAACAATGAAACATTTCATCGAAGTTTACAATTCCTCAACACATTCTACAACAGGCCATACACCAAATTCAATGACACAACAACAAGAAGAAAAGTATATACAAAAGAAACGAAGTCAAACACAAAATATCATAAATTCAACACAATTTACCCTCATTCCTGGTACAAAAGTTCGTGTAGTTCTTGACGACAAACCATTGACAAAGAAACGTTTAAGGTTAAGTCGAAATTATTATATCGTAGACTCTACGCAAGGTAATGGATATCTTATAAAAGCTGCTGACGACTCCATAGCATTTTACCCTCGTCATAAATTAGTCGAAAGTAGTAATGGCAAACTTGCTGAAACCATTGACGAAGCAAAGCGAGGAGTGGTTATTGAAATACTTGGCTACAACATAAACGATGACACTTATAAAGTAAGATATGAAGGAGGCGTTGAAGATGTTATACCATCTAAGAACTTGAGAGAATCTAAACCAACTCATCTGGGACCATTAGAGCGGGAGTACTGGAAAGACAAAAATAAGCCAGAAAGAATAAGAAAATTCTTCTAAACTTTTTCATTAGATGTAAATCAGACAAAAATAATGTTTAGGTGAAGAGGTGAGATCTCACCTGTTTTTTCACCTCTTTTTCACCCCTTGAACTTTTTATAACATTCGGTCATAACTTCATCAATTTCATTTAAATCACGATTTAAAAACTCATTGACTTCATCTTCAACCGTGTCATCTTGTAATAAGAATATTTTCTTTAGTTTCATGTCAACATCCCGAACAGCACAAAGGATAAAATCATATTCATTTCTTCCGTTAAACATACTTTTTCTTTCTCGTTCATCGTTAAATAAATTATTGAAAATATAAACAGCGGTGTAAAAGTTATGTACTGTGTTAAATGTTGAAGCTTCACCTATTTTAGATTTTAGGATTCTTTTAGTAAGTAAATTGTTATCGTTCTTTCTCTTTTCCTTATCGTTCATGTCGAATCTGTCGAACCACATATCCTGTATTTCATCGAATTTACGAACTATAGAATTCGTCATTTCCCTGGTTAATGAGGGGTAATCATTATTAATTTTTTCATATAATTTGTCCATATGATTTTCATCGACGTTTCCGGAAAGCATTTAATTAAAGCAAAAATAATGTTTAGGTGAAGAGGTGAGATCTCACCTGTTTTTTCACCTCTTTTTCACCCTCATGAATTTTGACATTTCCTTATGAAAGAAAAATAACGCTAATTTTTTTTCTAAGAAAAATTTTTATCTTGTATGTAAAGATATGATTTCAACAATAGGTTCTACAACACTTCAAGCCGCGAACGGCAGGACTCTGTCCACAACTTCACCAAACTCGTTAGTCATGAATCCTACGTCAATGTTAGTAGAGATGAAAAGCTTCATTCCTTCTTCATATACTTTTGAGACAGAAATCCAGAAGATAAAGCAAGAACTTTTAACAAGTACTTTAGACTGTAGTGCGAAAGATGAAGAAAATGAAGAATATCTTTATGAAATGCAGGACATTATTGACCATTTACCCAAACTACCTGAAATCCAACAACAAAAACTCACTATTCCTGAATTCGACGAAATTGAAGTGAAACCAACTGACTCAGTAGAAATAAGAAAGTTCATACGTAAAGTAAATTATGAATTCCTTGGTTTTCATTGCAACCATAAGGTTATGGACAAAGATTGCGACATGGTATATAAGAATGTTTCTGACATATATAAATCTGAAGAATTTAAGACATACGACAACTTTGTTTCATTAGTTGCAAAATGTGTTTGGGAAATAAGAGATAAAGATAGAAGAGGCAAAGTATGGAACGAACAAATAAGACCCGCTATGTTTGAGATGAAGAGAGCAATTGACGCCTTAGTTGTTCTAGCAGGTCAAATTTCAATGTATAACGCAAAAATGAACCCGCAATGTTCTAAATGTAAAGCAGCAATAAGAAAATATAACTACTCAGTCAAAGAGATAGAAAGAATGAGAAACGACTATGCAGACTTAAAGAAAGAAGCAGAAAAGCCAGCAGAAGATAAAATGAACATGTTAGAATTTCTGAACAAAAACTATCCAACAGCAGAAGATTTCCTTCTATCTGACGTCAAGAAGAAGTATAAAGAAACCTTCGGTATTGTTAAAACTTTTGACATACTGACAGAAGAAATAGAAGCTACGAAATTGTTTAGGATTTCAAATATACATCGTACAATTCATGTAAAACGCTTGTGAAAAAAGAGGTGAAAAAAGAGGTGAAAAAAGAGGTGAGATCTCACCACTTCACCTAAATTTATTTTTACTGAAAAATGACCAAATTTCATGAATTTCATTAGTTAGAAAAATAACGCTAATTTTTTTCTAAGAAAAATTTTTATTTTGTATGTAAAGACAGTAATGTCAAACATTGAGTTTGAAACAGTTAAAAAGATTGACAATGACACCAAAGTGGTTAGAATCGGTGATTTAAACGTAAGATACTCAAAGAAATACAACAAATATTCTTTGTCAGACATTCTGACACCATCTGAAAAGAAAACAAACCACTGGGTTAGAAATGCTTCAACTCAGAAAATTTTGACAAGAAATCCTGAGCTTATGATATCAGTAAGATTCTATGGAACAAGAGCATATCTTATAGACAAAAGTCTTATACCAATAGTTTTGTTATGGATTGACCCAGTTGTTGGATATAACTTCATAACTTATGGTTCATTCGATACGGAACGTTGCAGTGAAGGCTTACTTTACATCGTTCAGAAACCGAAGGACTTCAATACAAAGAGATATAAGATAGGAAGAACATATAATATAACTCAAAGATATGACTCTACAGTCAATAGAGTCAAGGTTGTGTTCGTTAACGATATGAGAGCTGCTGAAACAGAACTACTTGAAAAGTTTGAGAAAATGTATGGTGCTCCCACGAAAGGTAAAGAAACGTTTGAAGTAGATGAGATAGATAGTGCTATAAAATTATTTGACGAAGTTGCTGAAAAATACATGTAAAGCGTTTATTTTTGGTCTTTTGTGAAAGTCAGAAAATAACGCTAATTTTTTTCTAACAAAATTTTTTATCTTGTATATAAGAAACAGTAATGACAACATTAGAGAACACAACAACAGTTATAGTCCATGAAGTCATAAATGAAGAATACGAGTACATACAGTATAACAAACAGTTACGTCTCATTCGTTCTGTCAAAGACGACATGTACCAGGTGCAAAGTATTTTGACAGCATGTTTTGCTCCAGAGAATAAAACACCAAATGAATGGTTTGAATTAAATAGCACTCATGAACTCCTCAGTGAGTTTGAACATGTAGAACTTAAAAAGATGTACCAAGACAGACAAAACTTACCATCACATCTAAAAGGTATATATGTTCATAAGTTCCTAGTTAGTTCTATAGCAATGTGGGCTTCACCTCGTTATGCAATCTACATACTTATGCTACTTGACGAACTTTGTACAAAGCAGAGAGAAGATATGATGAAAGAAGACAAAAGCATTCAGAAAAGAATACCGCGTTCAGTACCAAAAGGAAAGGAAAAGAGTTATAAGTATATGATATATACTGAAGAGTTGGAGAAAGAAGAAGACAGAGATATGGTTATGTTGCATTTAGTGAGAAGAAACAACAAGAGCTTTTATGACTTAGCTAAATATATAAATCTGACAGAAACTGGTTCTATCGTGAAAACTTACCGATTTCAATGACACCTAATGAGCAAATAAAGGAAATTGTCAAAAATACTCTTCCTCAAACACACTATGACATCAAAGGTTGCACAATACTTACATTCAAAGAAGACTTAACATTGCTAAAGGAAAAAATAACAGAATATTTTGATAACTTCAAAGAGGAAGAATAAAAAAACTTTTTTTTGTTCAATGCTTTGAAATTTTATACAAAAATATATTTTTGCTTAAATAGCTTCAGGGTCTATTTCTTCAACCATTTCACTTCCTTCGTCAATGTCAATAGAAGCTTCTTCAACCTTTGGTAAGAATTTCTGTATAACATCTTTGTTCGTTATTGTTTTCAGAGATGAAGAATAATATTTCACATTTGTTTCACCCTTCTTATATTCTTTCTGTTCGGAAAGATTCATAGCAATACTGAAGAAGTCAATGTTGGAGTTCTTTATAACAGTATAATGAGTATCTTTGACATTCACGAAGAAACCCTTTTGTTTCAAAACTACTGCTAACTCTTGTGAAGTATAACGTTTGCGGTCAATGACAATAGCTAATGGTCTGACATACTGACCGAACTTAGATTCTTTCACAAACTTCTTGTTAAAGATAACATTGACGTTTGAAGCATTATTGAACTCATTCTTGATGGCAGTAGCGAGAGTATTGTATGAAAAGAACTTACAATCTTGCATGTGTTTCATTATAATAAAAATATTAAATTATTTTGAAAAATAACTTAAAAAAATCTAATCTAATTTTTTCAAAAAATATTTTTTTATTTCCTACTAAAGATGTATCGGAAGTTGTCTAAGTTAGAACACTCGGAAATAAAACAACTTCTTACAGAAGCTAACATAGATGTTGCAAAACATTACGCAACAAACAAAAAGGCACTCGCTGACATCCTCAATGACTACAATGGTGAAATAACTTATGATAGAATTCATGAGTTCATAAAGCTGCAACGCGGCGAGGACGAAGTCCATGCAATAGCATTTCCTTTAAATGACGTTGCTATTGACTTATATCATAGACGTTCAATACCTCATGAAGTAAGAAGAGAAATGTTTGACATAACAAATGCGAACGTTGGTGAAACAAGAAGAAGAGACGACACACTGAAACAACAGAGAAGAGAGATGTTTAAAAGTGCTATAGAACAAGTTCGCAAAGCTAACGATGTCATTCGTTCCATTGACGACAAACCAAAAGAAGGTGAGAGATGGTTAAAGAAAGATGAAGAGAATAGGAAGAGAAATGTGAAGTCAGGCAATAGACTCATTGACTTTAACATCGAAGCTTTAGATGAACCAAACAGAGACTACTTACACAAACATTTCGGTAAGGTTTTCATGAGACTCTTAGAGAAAATTAAAATAAACTCACAACAAAGATGGATGGTATGTTATAAACTTGGTGGAAAGTATGAATGTTCTACGTTAAACCTCAATAATATTGGAACATTACTACATCAGCTCTTGAAGGAGAACTTTATATCAGAGATAGAAGCAAATGCTGCAGGTATTGTTGAAATGCACTATGACTTCTTCTTGACAAACATAAAGAATCTTACCGAAATAAAGATGTATGATTTAACAGAATATGAAGGCTTAACGATGTCAGATGTAAAGAAAGGCAAACCAAAAAAGAGACCATATAGAGATGAAAGCACACTGACAAATGACAGAAAGATTTTGGAAGCTTTAAACAAACAGGAAAAACAGATATAGAAAGCTTTTGGAAAGAAATGGTGAAAAGAAGTTTTATAAGAAGAGAAGCGGTCAGTTCTGGAAGTATCTTTGCACATTACCTATAAATCTTGAACGCTACCAAATCTTCAATGAACTGAACAAAAGAACTGCAACACTTATGACAGAACAATTGTTTCGTTTATGCTTGCATTCAGGCTGGAGTAAATGAAGAAACTATTGACCACATGAGAGAAGTCATTCGTGTTAGAGACTTTCCTCAAAGTAAAGTACAAGAAATTTCTGACGCAACAGGTATAGCATTTAATGTTACCATTGGTTATTTCAATGACTCAAGACATAATGAAATAAAGAGATACATACCAAAAGAATGTGAAACTGTTAGAACTATTGACTTACTTCTTGTTGAAGACCACTACATGCTAAATGAAAGATTACCAATGACAACATATTTCATTCGAAACTATAAAGAAATTCTCAAAGCTTGTGGTGGAATGAACATTGAGAAACAGATGAAGATTTATACAAAGAGAGAAGATAAATATGTAGTTCGTTATGATAGAACAACACCGTTATGGGATGTTATGAAAACATTGTGGGAGTGCAAATATTTCGAACCTATTTCTTATGGAGAACTTTTCACATATACTACTGACTTATATAAACAGAACCTTGCACCATTTAAAGATTTGACATATGCTCCAAAGTATTGTGTACAACTGAAGAAGAAAGCAGAGTCAAAAGAAGTAAATAAAGCTAAATGTAAATTCATACCTGAGCACGTTTTCTTTGCTGACTTTGAGTGTAGTACGGATGGCTTTCATAAAGCTTTTAACATCTGTTATGACAGTGAAGATGGTTCAGTGAGTGAAAGCATATGGGGTCAGAACTGTGCAACAGAATTTTTGGAACGACTTCCTGACAAGAGTTTAATATATTTCCATAACCTCAGTTATGACATAAACTTCATCTTAAGACACATGACAGAAGTGAAAGGAACTCCCATCATTAAAGGTTCACGAACAATGCAAATAACTGGTTTATATAAAGGACGGGCAATTATTATAAAAGACTCTTACAGTGTTATAAATAAGAAACTTAAACTATTTCCTGCTATGTTTAACTTACAAACTGGTCCCAAGGAAGTATTTCCATACAACTACTACAGCAGTGTTTTGTTAGCAAATGACAACAGAACTGGTGTCATTTCTGAAGCATGTAAGTTTATCCATGATGCAGATACATTTATGAAGAACATAGATTCCATCAAAGGTTGCAGAATAGATGAAAACCACTTCGACTTAGAAAAATATAGCACGTTTTACTGCAAACAAGATGTAAGAATTTTAAGAGAAGGTTTTGTAAAGTTCCGCAATGACTTATTGAAAGAGTTTGATTTAAACGTTTATGACTACGTTAGTATTTGTTCTATTGCTAACAAATTGTTTGAGAACAGAGTATACTTCCCGAATGGAAATCTTTATGACCTCTCAAATAAACCAAGAGAATTTATTTCGAGATGCATTCAAGGTGGAAGATGTATGTTGTCAGATAACATGAAACAAAAGAGCAAAAAGAAACTCATTGCTGACTTCGACACTGTTTCATTATATCCTTCAGCTATAGCAAGACTTTATACTTTAGAAGGTATTCCAAAAGTATTGAAGGAAGAAATGTTAAGCACAGAGTATCTCATGAGACATTTATTCGATGATGACCAAAAGGAACCCATTGGTGAAAAGTTTATGTCTGGCTTCTTTGTTCTCATTAAGATAACAGAGATTGGTATACCCAGACACTTTCATTTAATAGTTTGCGACCCTGAACTAAATCCAGAACTTAACGTTCCAAGAAGTTCAAACACTTGCTGTCTCATGTATGTTGACCATATAACATTACAAGACCTCATAAAATATCAAGGTGTCAAATGTGAAGTGTTGCAAGGATACTATTACGATGGAAACAGAGATATGAGAATAAGAGATGAAGTAAAGAAGTTGTTTGAGTTAAGGTTAAAGTATAAGAAAGAAGAAACCCCTTACAAGAAATTATAAAACTCATTCTGAACAGCATTTATGGCAAAACTATTCTATCTCCTATTGAGTCAAAAATAACCATAGTAAATGACAAAGATGCTATAAGATATGCTATAAGAAATTACAACCATATAGTGAAGTTCGAAGGTTTGGATGGTTCAGATAAAACTATTTTCAAGCTAACGAAAAGCATTTGCAGACACTTTAACTTCTGTCCACTTGGTGTTAATATTCTGTCTATGTCAAAACGTATTATGAATGAAGTATTCTGTACTGCAGAGGACATGGGTCTTCAAATATTTTACCAGGATACCGACAGTATGCACTTATATAATGAAGACATCCCAAAGCTTGCAGCAGAGTTTAAGAAGAGATACGGTAGAGAACTTATAGGAAAGAACCTTGGTCAATTTCATAGCGACTTTGCAGAAATAACACCTGGAAAACAAAGTTTAGCTTATAAAAGTATTTTCTGTGGAAAGAAGACCTACATAGACTTACTCACGAATGATTTAAATGAAGTTGCATTTCACTGCAGAATGAAAGGCGTGAAGCAAGATGTTATTGCTTTAACCGCTAATGAAATGTTTCCTGAAGCTATACAATGCTATTACAATGAAGATAAGAACATTCACATACCTGTTGGAACATATGACAAAGACTCTGAGTTCAGTTTAATGAAACTTTACAAAGCACTTTATGATGGTCAAGAGATTGCATTCGACTTATGTAAGTCATGTCAACCTTGCTTTGCTGAAAAGTTCAACTTTTCAATAACGACTAAAACAAGCTTTATTCGTAAGTTGAAGTTCTGAGGTCATTTATTTTTGTCAGCAATGAGGTCATTTGTGATAAAAATAAGCCGCTAGCGGCATGTGCGAAGCCTATGTGGTCATTTACAATACAGCTATTGAAGAGTTTAACAATTGTGCTTCAATGTATAAACAATCTTTCCCATCTGGAGGTAAGAACACCGGGCAGTTATGGTCATGAGTGGAGAACATGTCTATCCAAAACTCACGATTGAAGCCAGTAATTGTAATACTTAGGATTTGACAGTGGTGAAGTTCTTGTATGACCAATGAACTCATTTTCAACTCCTTACTTAAGTTTGAATATAATATAGCTTGCTTTCTATCCCAAATGCCAGGTGTTACAATCTTTGAAAATTCATTTTTCCTCGGAAGTTTGCATCATAATTGAAAACATTCTTGAAGTCTCATTGGTTCAGAGATTTGAAATCTTATACGTAATGGATTTTTTTTCTTTAGCGACTTCATTGAATGGTGAGAATACAATGAATTGACAGTCATGAGTTCCATCTTCATTTTCATTAAATTCATAATGAAAGTCTATAAGTTGTGGCTGACTACCTTCTTCTTTCAGTTGTGCAAGAAACTCACGTAAAGGCTGTAAAGTTTGTACTTCAATGTTGAACTTTTTCTCGAACATCTCATTAAATGAAATCATACATTGCAACAATGTTGTATCGTCTTTAAAGTATTTGTATATGTGAATGTTTTGGGCGCTTAAAGACTGTTCGTCATTTTCTATCTCGACTTGAAGTATAAAGTCAACCTTTCTGAAAGCACGTGTTATATACATAGATGTTATGCCAATGTACTTCTCTTCATTTATGTTCACAATCCAGTCTGTTGGAAACTTAAACGTTACTCTGTTCCCCTTTATTTTGACGTCAGGGTTTTCACTACTGAACGCAACAGTAAAGGTATTTGTCTATACATTTAATTCGGATAAAAATAAACCATTTACTCTTTCTTTGCTTCAGCTTCTTTAGCTTTTTGTTCTTCCTTTGCTTTTGCTTCTTCTCTAGCTTTTTTCGCCAGCAAACGTGGGTTCTTTGTCTTCCAGCAGCTAATGCAGCTAGTTGTTTTTCACTAAGTTTTCTCTTTGGTCTCTCTGGCTTTTGTTCTTGTTTTTGTTCCTTCAGTTCGGATAAAATTTGCTCACGAATTTCTTTCTTCAATGCTTCAACATCTATGACCCTTGGGTCTTGTCCGTAGGATTGACTGAGTCATTTGACTGCAGATAAAAAACTAAATTAAAACTTTAACCGATGTAAAATGAGCTTGTCAAAATCAGAACGAGAGTCTATTATATTAAATGACGCCAGAGGAATACAACATCCTTTCTATTATGTAAGTCAGAGTAAAGATGGTAAAATATATGTAAGAAAAAGAAAGGTTCCATTAGCGAATACAGAGAGCGACAACATTAAGGTGCATGGCAAGGGTGAAGTCCACGAAGCCCATATAAAACCTTCTGTTCAAACTGAGCCACCAAAAGAACAAGAAGAAAAGAAGCCAGATGTACTTTCAATAACGAACCAAGAGCTTATTGCAAAGTTCGTGAATTTCATTGAAAAACAAACCGAGTCAAAGAACCCTGACCCGCCAGTGAAAGAAGTTGAGACAAAAGAGAATGTACAGTTCATTGAAAATGTCAAGAAACAACTTCCACCACGAATACCAAGAAGAAGAGTGAGAATAATGAAGTAAATAGATATTTTTATCTGAAGTAAATACATGCAGAACGAACAGTTAAACGAATTTACTCCAGCAGAGCATATTCATCAGATTCGCTCATATTTCGATATCATAGACAATGCAGTTCAAATTGGTGACACTAATAGAAAATATTCTGACGCAAAGATTCCATCACAACCTGGAACTGCTAAAGATAACACATGGGTAACATTCAATCTCTCACCTCCTGGTGAAAATATGTTGGACCTTTACAATACATTCATTACGTATAAAATGGAAGGTCAATTTATTGTAGATAAAGAAATTGGTTCAGGTTCCAATAAAACAAACCCACCAGGATTTTGGATTGGTTTCGATGACGCTTTCTATGCAGTTGCTGGATATCAAATCCTTGCAAATGGTCGTATCGTATATTCTCAAGACAACGCAAGAGAAGAAGCATATATAACTTCAAACTCACAAACTACCGAACAAATAAAGAAAGTAGATGTTTTTCAAAGACTCGACATGAAGATGTATGGAGTCATTCGGGAACATGCAGAACAGGACAAATTGTTAGGTGGTCCAATTACAGCAGGAAAATCATTTGATTTTAAGCTTCGTTTAAGAATTCCTGTTAGAAGATTCCTTCCATTAGAACTATTCGATTTATTCCAGCTTTTGCAGGAAACATTCAGCTTAAAGTAAAGTTCAGTAGCGACGCCTTACAATGCACATCTATATCTGTAAATGATATCATTGCTTTCAATCCAACTCTTAAAGTTGCATTTGCTTCAGATTCAAATCCACCGACAAATAAATTTGTTCCATGGAATGAACCATTCACTATGATAACGAAGGCAGTAGAAGCTAGTGGAACAGTTACTATTACAACTGTAACCAGCAACTATTTCGAACAAAGATGGATTTTAATGAATGTTTCATTCATCCAAAGTCATTCTCTTTAGACCCTAACATTTATACAGAACTTGTAGAACATTATACAAACGAGGCTTTATGTTTTCCTGTTAAAGTTATGGATTGGATTCCTATGGACGGTTCATTCTCAAAGAATACAGATAGTTCAAGTGCAACATTTACAGCAGCTTATACGCCTATTAATGTTAAAAGTATTTGGGCACTATTTAGAAAGAAAGACAACTATTATGTTAATTTTGAGAACCCTAAGTTTAAATATCTTCAGCTTTCCATGGGAGCTTATGGAAATATGCCTGCAGAACCTGAAAAATCATATGGACCTGTATTTTATGAAATGGTTGCGAACGCTTGCAATACAAACAATGATATGATAGGATTTAATGAAGATGTTATGAGGTCATTGGTGGATGATGGTAGTGTGGAACATAAATGGGATAGCTATGACAACACACATTTCTTATGTGGTTTTCCAACAGAAGTGGACTTTTGCTTCCAGCAAGGTCAAACATCTACTGCTCCAATAACATACAAATTGTCTGTTAAAGGACCTATTGAACTAGCAACTGAAAACGTACCAAAGCCACTTATTGGATTTATGAGGGATTGTTGCTTTGCAATACAAGTAAGACAGTCAGGCATACCAATAATAAGACTTGACGACTATAACTTAGCACGGACGACAGTGAGGAATAAAGGATGAACGTTTATTTTTAAAGCTTATAAATGAGTTCTTCATCAAGCTCTCGTGAACCTTCACCATCTATGAAACAAACTTTACCAAACGATTATGGAGCACCTATTGAATATTTCTTACGAGCTGCACAATGGCAAAGAGCAGTCTCACCAAGGTTAGGTGTTCCACCAGCTCATGTCAAAAATAGCATTTGGTCAAGTCCTTATATAAGATATGGTCTCCCACTAGGTTTGCTAGCTACAGCAGGAGCAGTTATGATGTTGAAAAGAAATAAAGCAAATGTTGTAAATAATACTGAAGTAGCTGAAGTTAAACAAACTCCAACACCTTCGCAAAACCAACGCCTTCACAAGCAAAACCTTCAATGACTCCTGAACCTATGGAAGTACAAACTCCTGTTCAAAAGTCAACTCCTAAACCGACTCCAACATTTAAACCAGAACCTACGCCTCAAATAAATCGTAAAACTCCTGCGTTTCCTTACTGAAAAAA